AATATTAAAGAATTTATGGATGATAATAACCCCTGGAAATGAGGTGATCGCTACCAAGCTATTTCTAATTTGGGGGCAAATTTCCGCTCAAAAACATAACTGCTCGGGGCAAACTGAGCAACAATACCAAGGCGACCCCTGCCACGCTATCCGTGAATTTCTGCAACATCAGGGAACTTCACTCTAACCTAAACGCCGTCCACTACCATCTCGAGACGGCGAAGCCGGCCTTGCTCTTTCTGACCGAGACGCAGGTTTCCTCTCCGGCTGATATTTCGTATCTCTCCTACCCGGGGTACAAATTGGAGCACTCCTTTGGGCCTCGGGCTGTATGTCAGAGAGGACATCTGGTCTCGACGCCTCGGTAGTCTTGAAGGTTCGGAACTGTCCATCCTTTGGCTACGCGTAAACAGCGACGACCATCCGCGCGTCTACGGGTGCCTCTATAGGTCCCATAGCGGTAATGCCGAAACAGACCGACTCATCGACCACGTCCAAATGGCTACAGATTCCTTGCTACAACAAGTCCCATCCGCAGAGATCGTGATCCTTGGCGATTTTAACGCCCACCATGCCGAATGGCTCGGTTCACGTTTAACCGATCATGCGGGGAGATCTGTTTATGACTTTACCTTGGCATATGGTCTGACACAACTGGTTACTTCGCCTACGCGGATTCCAGATGTGGAGGAGCATACACCTTCCCTGTTGGACCTTCTGTTGACCTCTCATCCGGACGGATATCAGGTTTCCGTCGATGCCCCTCTCGGCTTTTCGGACCATTGTCTGATCCGGAGTGTGGTGCCACTCACGCTCCCTTCGCGGTTGCGTTCTGCAGGTTGACGCCGTGTTTGGCATTACAGGTCGGCGGATTGGAACGGAATGCGGTCTTTCTTTGCATCCTACCCATGGGGGCGGGTTTGCTTCTCGCCGGATGATCCCAAAGAGAAAGCCGACCTTTTAGGCTCCCTTTTTGCGTCCAACTCGACTCTTGATGACGGATGGAAAACACCGCCGACCATCCCGCGGTGTGAGTGCTTAATGCCGGATGTACTGTTCTCACAGCGCTCGGTTCGCAAAGCACTTCTCTCCCTGGACATCCAGAAGTCGAGTGGGCTTGACGGAATCCCCCCAATTGTGCTGAGGATGTGTGCTCCGGAGTTGGCACCGGTTCTAACGCGTCTTTTCCGGTACTCCTACTCCCAAGGCGTTGTCCCAAATTCATGGAAGACAGCTTTTGTCCACCCGATCCCTAAAAAAGGCGACCGCTCAGACCCGTCCAACTATAGGCCTATCGCGATCACCTCCTTGTTCTCCAAAATAATGGAATCCATTATTAACTGCCAGCTCATCCGGTACCTTGAGGATCACCAGCTGATTAGTGACCGCCAATACGGTTTTCGTCGGGGTCGATCAGCTGGTGATCTTCTGGTCGACCTGACCCATAGATGGGCGGAGGCAGTAGAGTCCAAGGGGGAGGCGTTGGCCGTTAGTCTGGACATTGCGAAGGCCTTCGATCGGGTTTGGCACAAAGCGCTTCTTTCGAAGCTCCCTTCCTATGGGCTTCCCGAGAAATTGTGCAATTGGATCACCAGCTTCCTTGCTGATCGGAGCATCAAGGTCGTTGTAAACGGTGCATGTTCTGACTACAAGCCTATTAACGCTGGTGTTTCACAAGGCTGTGTGCTATCACCAACGCTGTTTCTTCTGCATATCAATGATATGTTGCTAACTGGCAACATTCATTCCTATGCAGATGCCAGCACTGGTGATGCTCTATACACCGGCCGTGCCAATATTTCTCGGGAAAACGTCGCCGAGTACCGGAACAAACTTGTGTCTGAAGTCGAGTCTTTGCTGAACAAAGTCTCGGAATGGAGGCGACTAAATCTAGTCCAGTTTAATCCTCAGAAGACACAAGTTTGCGCGTTTACCGCTAAAAAGAACCCCTTTGTCGTATCTCCTCAGTTTCAAGGCACTCCCCTTCTTGCTTCAGCCAGTATCGGTATCCTCGGAGTCGACATATCGAGTGACGTGCAGTTTCGTGGTCACTTGGAAGAGAAGGCCAAATTGGCCTCTAAAAAGCTTGGCGTGCTCAGCAGAGCGGGACAGTATTTCATGCCGGCACACCGCCTGCAACTTTACAAGGCGCAGGTTCGGCCTCACATGGAATACTGTTCCCATCTCTGGGCAGGGGCTCCCCAGTGCCAGCTCCTTCCACTTGACCGCATCCAGCGCAGAGCGGCTCGAATCGTCGACGACCGAGCCCTTTCCGATCGGCTCGATTCATTGGCACTGCGAAGAGATGTTGCATCCCTTTGCATTTTCTTTCGCATCTACCATGGGGAGTGCTCTGAGGAATTGTTCAGATTAATCCCAACCGCCAAATTTCACGAACGCACATCGCGACAGAAATCCCGATACCATCCACACCATCTGGATGAATGGCCGTCCACCACTGCGATTTAGAAGATGTTTTCTTCCTCGCACCACTTCCTTGTGGAATCGATTACCATCAGCGATTTTTCCGGACCGATACGACTTAGGGACCTTCAAGAAAAGAGCGTACTCCTTTTTAAAAGGCCGGCAACGCATCTGAAATTCCCTCCCTGGTGTTGCAGTTGTTCATGGGCGGCGGTAGTCACTTACCATCAGGTGAGCCGCATGCTCGTTTGCCCCCTGTCCTATTAAAAAAAATCTTCACTCTTATCAGCTTTGTGTGACTTCAGTTTTTTATGATATCTTTCCTTTTGGTGTAAAATCCTATAAGAAGTTAGTCAGATACAAAAGCAAATACTAAATAATATAATAATAATCTAGATTATCACTGCAAAAGTATGAGATAAAAATCAAAGCCAAAAAATTTTTTTTATAGAATAGGGGGCAAACGAGCATGCGGCTCACCTGATGGTAAGTGACTACCGCCGGCCATGAACAACCGCAACACTAGGGGAATTGCAGATGCGTTGCCGGCCTTTATTACATTCTTCCAATACTAATTAATAATATTGTATTCTTCCAAGGCAACGTATTCAACTAGTGGAAAAAGCTATTTCCTACGTAACAAAACATGTGAGAATGTGGACATTTCGATTGAAGGAAGAAGACAAATGAGGATATATCGAAAACGTTTACCAGGAGAAAAGACCCGATATGCTGGACTGGTAGCTCAGATGGTTAGCGCTCGCTGTAAGCTTCACAGTACTCGAGCAACCCGGGTTCGATCCCTGCCAGCACCAATGAAATTGTTAATTGCAATTTTAAGTGCTGATTTACCACGGTCTCGGCAGTGAAGGAAAACATCGTGAGGAAACCTGCATGTCTGAGAAATAAAAAAAAATATTTCGAAGACATGTGAAGTTCGCCAACACGCATTGGGGCAGTTGGGCGAACATTTCCTTGCCCTAAAACCCTCTAAGAAATGAGAGGAGGCCTGTGCCCAGCGGTGGGACGTAAATAGGCTGCAACTTTACTTCTTTACTTTTATGCTGAACTAACATTGCCAGAGAAGCTGCAGAGAGATATGTTAGAAAGTCTTGACATATTTTACGAGGAACTAGACCATCGCTACAGAGCAAGGGATGATATTCTCGTAACATTTATTGTTGTTCAGCCTTACACTCTGCTAACGACACCAGATGAAGATCTTCGTGTAATAGTTAAAAATCTAACAAAAATCTATGATGATTTTTCTGCAGGATATAGAATTTTATAATTTTACGACTTGAAAGCTGCTAGCATTTCTTCCCAAGAAGCGGTTCAATGTAATTCATTGGTCATTTTCTCGTAGAATTTCTCGCTGTGTCTAAGATTTTTTTACTATTAAGTTTCATGTGAAGGAAACTTTTCAAAACTCAAGTTAATAAAATCTTACTTAAGGTCCACAATGAGCCAAGCGCGACTAACCAATCTTTCCATTTTATCTATCGAAAATGACATGAAAGTAGACTTTGATAATATATTTGAATATTTTAGCAAAATAAAGTCCCGTTAGCATGTTTAGCATTTTTTGTTTTATTTTGGGGGGTGCTTGATAGAAAACCGCCCTGTGTGTCAACCCACGCTACGCCGCCACTAGTTACTGTAAGGTTTGATACTGTAGCGTAGCAATAAAGTAATCAAAATATTATACTTTGTTTAATTATAACACTATTCAGCACTTTCCATATTGAAAAAAATACGCATTTCGTTTTCCGTGATGCTATATACACTAATAATATCCTCAAAATATTGTATCATGGACACTCTATTAGAAAGAAATGCAACGCCTAACTCGGTGCCTTTCATTCATTTCAAGGTCCCTGATTTAGGACCGTTTCTCTAGTATGAAGTGCACACTCCCTATATTTTACAATCTCCTTGAAAAAACTAATACCCTTGGCGGAATGTCACATGTTCCTGTATAGGACAGTTCAAAGAGTATAGTAACTGTCCTATACAGGAATAGTGGGACAGTTACTATACTCCATACTCTTTGGTCACATCTACTATTTAGTCTGTGGTAGGCTCAGAAGGGCTAGAACCCAGAGCCGTAAAGTCAGTTTGGAAAAAAATTAGTCTGTTGGTCTCATGTCAATAATCAATAATCAAGGGTTCAAGGGGTTTTGGCGGGAACTTGATTGGCGGCGGTTTGCTGTTCCTGTATTATAGTTGAAGTGGATTTTGATATGTAAAAGTGGTGCGATTTTATGTATTAACTGTCTACGCATGTGAGCTATTAGTGGAAACGGTGAAACAAGTGCTCTGATGGTGACGGATTCTCAAGATATGCTGTTTGTTTGCATAGGCGCCTTTAGATACCATCGCCAACTGTCAGCTGCCTGCTGGCTCAAGTTGCCGTCAAAATCTCCCAAGGGCTGCACAAAGTGACGCATCAACATATGAAGCAGTGAACTATGAAGGCTGTATGGCATAGTTCCTTTGCCTGCTCTCTCGAGCGAATAATAAAAACAACAACAAGAATCAATAATCAATTTTACGTAGAGTGAGCAACACAGAGTACATTATATATAGGGAAGTGAGCAATTTTATATGTTTCGAGTTAGTTTCTATTTCTAATTTTAATTAGACTGGTATACAGTAATCTGTGATTTTAATAAAGCTATAGAAAACAGGAATGGCCTTTAGTGAAGTTTGTAGAATTTGCTTAAGCGGTAATGTACGCTTGATTGTACTAAAGAAAACTAGCCTCCAAAATTTGTATAAGACATTGACGAACAGTTTTGTAAGTTTATTTAATATTTCTTAATATTGCTAACAGAAATTGCGGTGATTTGTTGTTATTGCTGGAGAAATACATTATAACGCCTAGTAAAAAATGCGAAAGATCGGGGCTAGGCTAAGGTGCTAATAATTTGTTGTTATCACTGGAGAAATACATTATGATGCCCGATATATTATGTTTCAAGGTGTAGCGTTAAATATAGTGACAATTACAACCAGAATCTGAAAAATAACAATTAGTTTGGTATGCTGGGTCATACTAAAATCAGTATTATCATTGAAGTAATATGTATTACGTACGAGAAGATACGCCGAGACTTTGTTTGCAACATGCGTTAGAGCCCGCAGGGTCAAAACTGAGTCTGTTATGTGCCATAAAAATATCTATCAAGGAAATAATCTCCCTGGTTTGGTTGTTCAGCCACTGAAAGCTGTTGTAATGAACTATTAAAGTGGGAGAATAGAGTGTACATGTTCTTTCAGACACAGAAATTCCCTCACTCTCATATTTCACATATTATCAGACTAAGACAACAAAGGAGGGAATAATGTGCACATGTGCTTGCTACACATATGCAATATAATTCTGTCCTGCACTAATGAATAGTCTCCATGTGACAGATATTCTGTCTGTAGGATATTATTATCATTATTTAATATGTGGTAAAACCAGACTGCAGTTATACTATAGTTGTATCAAGGATGGGTTGGCTTAACCAGGGTGATACCACACAGAATACCAGCATAAAATAGCAGCTTTGTGTTTTGTAGTAAATTCCTCCTACCACAAGCAATTTCAGTTTACTTAGAGCGATAAGAGAAGTATTTGTAATGTTCTTAGTGATGATAGCAGTTTGAAGTTAATGTGGGTAATGCAGTTGATGGATGTAGGTGGCTTAGAACTGTGTTGTTGTAGTGATGATGGTTCACTATGTGGTAGGACTATTTTCCACCTAGAAGTCTATCTGGGTAGATATCATCCTCTTATTTATTTCTGCCACAGAGCAGCAGGCTGAGATGCATTACATCTTAGTCCTCAGAGGTAACATTGCGTCTGTAGCCATTGCTTGAAGTTCGTTGCAGGTGCACAATTTAGTTTAACCACTTACCATCAGGTAGATGCTAAGTTTATTTGTCACTTCAATATTATAAAAAATGATGTTGATGAAGTGAATTGTGGTAGCCTAAAGATTTTATTCCAAACTTACACATATATTTAAGTAGTATTCCATATTTATGATGAATTTTCATATTTTCAGATGGATGAAAATGAGAGGCCCATAATTGTCTGTTTCACCTGTCATGCAAGACTAATTCGTTGCAGAAGATTACAACAACAGGCTATTGACTCAAATGCAGTTCTGGAGCAGTTGCTTGCAGGAGGGTCCATGGTATTATCCATTCTATCCATTAAAACCTATAAAAGTCCACTGCTGAACATAGGCCTCACTCATAGACTGCTTCATAGGAGGGATTTTGCCAAATTTGCCACGCTTGGAAAGTTGGCAACTGCAGTTTACATGTCTGAATTGTTATCAGGAACTACCTGTCTCGCGCGTTCTATGCTGCTTCCCATTGCCATATGGGAGAATGTTTTTTCTTCTGCAAAGTTAAATTTGTCCTTGAATCCAATTTACTTTCTTGTTAGAGCAATGTATCAATATTATATGAATTTCAGTAAGTTAAGTATTTATTTTGACAAAAATAATTATCAAACCGTTTATACTGTTTTTGTGAATCTGATTCAATTTTCGAAGTTTTTTGGAATGGAATAACTATCTACATTTTTAAAGTTTATTCGGAATCCCCACGTTTGTCCGTATTTTATTATTATTTGGAGTTGTTGTCAGGAAGATGCTGCTGCCCATCTCCTGTTTCAGTTTCCCTCTGTCCCTGTTTATGACATCTGTGGAATGGATTAAAAAAAAGTATTTGGTTTCAGTCAATACCAAAACAACATGAGGCTAGAGATGATGAGATTCAATTCACACCAATTTATCAAATAGATATCAGTCCGATAGAATTTGATATAGAAAATGCTTCTAAGGACAAAATTTTTAGCCTTGAATCCGTTAAAATCGAGGAAGAAAATTTCGAAAATGAGAATTCCAAATTTGAAGAAAATGAGAATCATGAAAAAGGTAAGATATACCCCTTTTTTTGATATTATTCAAATAAGGTACAGTTTACCTTATGGCAAATGGTTACTGTAGCCCATGGACACACAATAAAGAGGGTTTCATGTGCAATGTACTGATTTACTCATTTGCCTTTGCCTAAGTTCAAAGTGCATATCAAAAGCACTCTTATTAATACATTTTTAAAATATTTTGACCCTGTATAAATGCAACCAGTATGTACTCACTAAGACGTTTTTATTTCATAGGGATAAATGATATACTTACTATTGGTAAGCAACCACCTATCTTTGCCAACTTCTCAGTGTCAGTACTAGGTGGTGTGACTCCATTTTTCCCTGGGAGCTGAACTATTTGCGCCTGCCCAGATGGCTCCTCTTACCTATTTCTAACTGAAACAACGATTTTTATAAGCACTACGTGTTCAGTGATGTGTGTTTCCTTGATATATCAAGCAACGCAGACAAAGTCGCGGTTATCAGTTAGTTTTTTTAATAAAACTGGCAAATATTAGCAATTAACTGTAAAATTTTGGGTTTTATCACAAAAAAAATTTAAAAAATATAGTCAGACTTCGTCTAACATAACTATGACCTAAATGATTCTAAGTGATCTAGACTAATTTCCCCTTTCAGCTTTGCACCAATCATTCTGTATAATGTTGTTCTGTGTAGGATTCGAATCAGTGATTATTATAGATTAACGTAATTGTAAACATGGCCAGAAGAATGTCATCATTATCATTCGAATTTAGTTTCTCTACTCTTCCCCTCTTTCCCTCCAAAAATGAATATGAGAGATATTATTCAGAGTAATTGGCTAAAATACTTTATATCCAGCAACATTGTATAATTAAGTAATTCTATGATTTAACTATTTCTCCCTGGGTTATATAGAGAATATGTTTAAGGTGTCTTACAATGAAGAGACAATGTCTTACAATAAATTAAATGTTCAATTTGTGTGTATTTCAGAACCATACATCGTACCGACTAATAATTTTTCTGAACCATCTGAGAGCAAGATTAAATCAAAAACTGATTGTAACATAAACAATGTTAGTAAAGGAAATCTCGATTTAGAAAGCCTTTCAAGTAAATCAGACCCTAAAGTGAAAAAAGATAATCAACCAATTAATAAAAAAGGAAAGCATCCTGCAAATATTATGACAAAGAAAATTTTGAAACAAAAGAATGTAAATATATTTACAAAAAAAGCATCATGTAGCAAAAAAAATTCAACAAAAGACATTCTTGCTAAACACATTTCATACAGTCATGAGACGCAAAAGACCTCAGATACCACTGCAGGTCAGACACAAGTTGAACAAGCTCCAGTACCACAAATAATGGAAATATTTTATTGTGATATTTGCGAATTTAAAACATCTCTAAAATGTCGCATTTTGACACATCTTAAAGCGCACGTCGCTGAACAAGTGTACTGTTGTAAGAATTGTGATTATAAATGTACACTAAAAAGTAATTTCATACACCATATGAAAATTCATACCGGAGAAAAATATTTTTCGTGTAATATTTGCGAATATAAATGTATTCAAAAAAGTAATTTGCAACTACATATGAAAATACACACTGGAGAAGAAACTTTTTCATGTAATTTCTGTGAATATAAATGTATCACAAAAAGTAACTTGCTTAGGCATATGAGAATACATACTGGAGGAAAACTTTTTTCGTGTAATATCTGTGATTATAAATGTACTATAAAAAGTAGTTTGGAAAAACATATGAAAAGACATACTGGAGAAAAGCCATATTCGTGTAATATCTGTGAATATAAATGTATTCAAAAAAGTAATTTGCTAACACATATGAAAAGACACACCGGAGAAAAAGATTTTTCGTGTAATATCTGCGAATATAAATGTATTCAAAAAATTCATTTGCTAAATCATATGAAAAAACACACCTAAGCAACCTTTTCAGGTAGCCCAAGAGCTAACTGATAAAAGATGTAGATTTTGTGTAAACGTGTTTTATATAAATATAAAATTATACGAGATAAAAATCCATTTGTCATGAATTTCTTATATAACTACTAGCTCGCCGGGCAGACGTTCTTCTGCCCTTTCCAACGACCCTTCCTATAAAACATCCCTAAAATCGCAATAAACAATTTTGGGGGTCATTTAGCGGGATAAAAACTATCCTATCTCTCAAGTTGGACCAAAATACACACAGTGTGTAAAATTTCATTGAAATCAGTTCAGTAGTTTAGGAGTCCATCGCGGACAAACAACGAGACACGTAATTTTTATATGTAAAGATAGAACGAGTAGAAAACTTTTCTTGCCTAATGTTCTAATTGAAACCGTGGTTTTATATTTTTATTTCTTACTAGCCCGCAACTTCGCCCGCGTGTATTTTATTACGATTGGATTTCGTGTATTTTAAGTTTTTTGCACATTACCCTAATTCTTTTTCTAAAATAAAAGTAGCCTAAGTTAATCCTTATAACATCAGCTATCTGCCAGTGAAAATGCCGTCAAAGTTGGTTTAGCCGTTTCGGAGATTAGCTGGAACATACAGACGGACAAAAATTGTGTTTCTGTTATAAGTACTGTATATACTTTAATGTGCATTTGGTAAAAAGCTGTTATTATGACATTAATAAATAAATAAATATCATTTTATTGTCACATTAAAAAAAAATATGTACATACAAGCTGAGTACTTCATCTAAATTAAATTTAGGTAATCGTAGTTGACTCAGCTTATGCTTACATGGGACTAAGATCCCTTGAAGTGCTGGTTTTCAAGCACTCCTACCTTCCTGAGATGTTAAATGGGTGTGGTGAGAATTGCAGTTCCCCAATCACCTCTATCATTCACTCATCTAATATTAGAATTTTACTAATGGTTGTGAAATTTTATAATAATAATTCTTGCGTGTGTGTGTGTGTTGTGTTTGTACTGTGTATGTGTGATTACCCTATGCACTGTACAAGCGCACTGAAGCTGCCTTCTAGCACTCATGTTAAGTAAGCCTTTTTTTATTCAGGTATGGAGTAATGGATACTGTTTTGGGCACATTAAAGCAAAAATGAACACAAGCATTTTGCACTCTTTGTATTGCTCTCTTTGTGTTGAAATTTAGTCTTGGACCAAAGGCAGAACTGCATTAATTGAATTTAAATAGCACCAAAGTATCACTTAAAAATATCCGTAAATTCTACTTAAGATAAGGTCTGATTTTGTAGAGCGTTTTCAGCTTGAAAAATGCTGTCCTGATTTTATTTTTCACATGATCAATAAATTTTTGTTTCCCATCTAAAATCAAGCCGAGATTACCTGCAGAAGTAACTTGTTCCAGAACAACATTATTGATTTTTACCTTTTCTCCGTATTCTAATACATTTTTTTTTATTTGGTGTTTAGTGGAAAAAAAAATTATTTTGAGACCATGTGTGGATGTATGACCATGTGGAGATCATTAAATTAAAGCTATCAGTAGTATGAAATATGAAAAATGGAAAAAAAGTACTGTAGTCTCAGAAGGGGTTTGAACTCTCTTCGGTGGATTAAGTGGTGAGCACTATGTGCACTTCACCGTTTAAGGCCGGCCACATATATACGGAATTCCGTTTCGAGATTCCGTTTCGATATTCCGATTCGGAATCCCGAACGCAGCAAGTCCATATAAAATCTATGACCCGCCACACACGTACGGTAGTTTTCCGTTCGATATTTTGCGGGCAAAACGGGATTCCGTTTGTGTGTGGCCGACCGTTCGAAATTCCGAAACGGAATCTCGAAACGGAATTCCGTATGTATAGAGCGGGCCTAAGGCTCGCCACATACATACGGAATTCCGTTTCGGGATTCTGTTTCGATATTCCGATTCGGAATCCCGAACGCAGCAAGTCCATATAAAATCTATGACCCGCCACACACGTACGGTCGTTTTCCGTTCGACATTTTGCGGACAAAACAGGATTCCGTATGTGTGTGGCCGATCCGTTCGGAATTCCGAAACGGAATTCCGTATGTATGTGGCGAGCCTTAGTGTGGAAGGATTAGACGAAATATGTAACCTTTGCTTAGTAAGCCGATATTAGCAGTTCGAACAATTTTGTTTGCATTCCACCATCTTAATTAAGGCTTCTTTATATCACAAGACAACACAAATGTTAATTTTATCACAGTTTTTAGACAACCGTCAGCTTCCTAGATATGTAACTATTTTCGACAGACTCGTGATCAGTATCTTTTACGTTTTTTGTTTAAGGACGCGTTTACAAATATAACTAATAACTACCACGTAACACGTATTGACAGGTTTTTCATCTTCAAACGGTACTGACATTTTTGTTGAAAACAATAGTTTTAAATATTGTAAAAACATACATTTTTTGTTCTATTATCAATATATATTAAGATTTCTGAAAATACTGTAAGTAGGCAGACATATTCAATAAAAAATAATAGTACATATTTACTTTTTATCAAAATGTCACAAATAGTCGTAAAAAAATAAAAACTGATGGTTATTTTTTTCACATATTTTGCTAATACGGATGAATCATAATCGATTGCAATAAGGGTTATTTTATTTTTGGTGCATGTTTTGATTCATTGTACAAAAATTTCTTTGAATCCAGATCTAGACATGGGCAATGTGTATCACTTAAAAGAAAAGATTGATATATATCTTTTGATCACTTGGATATGTATCACTCTTTTATATCTTATGTATCAGTAGATCAAGCTCGCTTTCACGACACGCATCGCATTACGTTGCGTTGCTCACTCAGCGTGGCTCGCTTCGCTCAAATCAATCCTATCAGTAAGAGTGATAGATAAGTACCTATAGAGCTGTTTGCATTTTGCTTGGTTATAACATTGTGTATCTTTCTGATATATTTGGCTGTTATTTCTTTCTAGGTATCTATTTGTTATGATAAAAAAATTAAAGTTTTCCTATTTCTCACACATGCAGGTTTCCTCACGATGTTTTCCTTCATCGCCGAGCACGTGGTAAATCAGCACTTAAAATTGCAATTAACAATTTCATTGGTGCCGGCGGGGATCGAACCCGGGTTGCTTGCGTACTGTGAACTTTACAGCGAGCGCTGTTATTGTTATGATTGATTAATATTAATAGGCACTTATTCGAGAAATTAACTTAAATTTTTAGTTTAAAATAATAATTAAATTAATGATTAACGTAAAAACGTAGGTAGGGTAGGTATTGTTTGTATTAATTTGTAGAAAATATATATTATATAGTTTCGGCTTCTTGAAAACATGCCTGCTGCGTTGGCTGTCTTTTAGCTACGAGGGGTACTGTGGGGAAGGTTACCACAATTTCCAGCGGGTACATTTAGCATGTTCGCACAATAAAGGCATTTTGCTTTTTTGGTTCTACTTCCTCAAAATGATTCCACACTGCGCTTTGTTTTCGTGAACCCATTTTTTTTATTAATAAAACACTAACTACGCAAAATTATTTACACTTAAAATAAATGAAACATTCACTAACTGTACGTACAGAACAAAAAACACTTTAAACTATTTACACTGAATGTCTTATTTAAATTTAAATTAAACAGTCACTAAGTGTACAAAACAACTTCAGATATTTTTCTATTCGATGCAATTAACGCAAACAATATTACTCTCGTTCCCGAACCGAGATTAAGGTTGAAGTAATGAAGCAAACTGATGTATTTGTTTAATTTTGTAAATCACAAATCTTTTTTCTACTTTTTTATGGATATAAACGACTATAAATTTCGATTATAAAACTTTCTTAGAGACTATGGTTTTATAACTGATATTAGTTTGCATTGTTTACTAAAAAAATTATAGGCAAAGTACACATAGGTACAGTTCAAACCAGTATAATACTTAAATGTTAACGTACCGCTTAATGACTTTAAGCCCTATGCACCAGTCAAAGAGTTATCAATTTACCTTTTTGTGCTAACGTATTACAGTTTATAATGGTCAAACAACTCACTCTCTCCGTCTTGCTAAAGCGCGACAGAACATTCTAAATAGTGACCTGCGAAAGAAACGTCTGTACTATGGACTTTCCGAAATTTAAATTTTTAAGTTAATTTCTCGAATAAGTGCCTATTAATATTTATCAATCATAACAATAACAGCGCTCGCTGTAAGTTTCACAGTACGCAAGCAACCCGGGTTCGATCCCCGCCGGCACCAATGAAATTGTTAATTGCAATTTTAAGTGCTGATTTACCACGTGCTCGGCGATGAAGGAAAACATGGTGAGGAAACCTGCATGTCTGAGAAATAGGAAAACTTTATTTTTTTTAATCATAACAAATAGATACCTAGAAAGAAACAACAGACAAATATATCAGAAAGATACACAATGTTACGACCAAGCAAAATGCAAACAGCTCTAAAGGTACTTATCTATCACTCTTACTGATAGGATTGAGTTGAGCGAAGCGAGCCACGCTGAGTGAGCAACGCAACGTAATGCAATGCGTGTGAAAGCGAGCTTGATCTACTGATACATAAGGATATAAAGATATAAAAGAGTGATACATATCCAAGTGATCAAAAGATACATATCAATCTTTTCTTTTAAGTGATACACATTGCCCATGTCTACCTGGAACGACCGGCCGTGCCGGCCGAGGTATAATAGAAAGCAGTGTGCGCAATGTGCGACACAGATGTTAGAAAAAGTTAAAAGATGTCTTGAGTGAATAAGTTGTAAAGATATACTGATACAGTGATACATTCGGATGCGGACGGATATAAAGAGTGATTGATGGAAACGGATTGATTCATATCTTTTGTATCTATCTCTCCTGAGTTACCCATCTCTATCCAGATCCACAGTCCGCGCTCGACCGCCGTCATGAGTGGATACCACAGAGTACTTTTATATATACTGAAATAGAGACGAATCTCAAGCCCAAAAATGAATTCACGAATGTGCTGCCGTCTGGTGGCGTCGGATGGAACAATTTATATTTATCATATAGCTATACTATACACGTAGTATAAGTATATAGCTACTATATAGTCCTTTATACTATAGGTACTAAATTATTGTTTCCTTTTACTTATTGTAAGAAGTTTTTTCTTTTTACTTATTGTAAGAAATTTTTCTTACAATAAGTATAGGTTTTGAGGTAAAAATAAAAACTAATTTCAGAAAGTTAAGTAATTTATTGAACAAAACATCTTTTTTACATTTGTGGAAATATTTTTTGGCTTTCATTTGAAACACATCTTCATTATTGTGACACATACAACACATAATTGAATATGAAAAAGCGGCAAGGCAAATTTAATAAATACTTATTTTATTTTACATAGCAAAAAATCAAAATCTACATGAATTAGTACCAAGATTTTTATTAATTCTTCAACATTGTCTCTATCTAAATATTTTTTAATACTGAATTTGTTATGTCTTGCACTGCAGATACACACACTATAAGAGACTCAGTAGGACTGCAAAGTCAAACAGTGGCTTTGCATATTCCCAAAAGTTAATGATTTCATTTTCTTGTAAGGCGAATATTTTAGCAGTACATTCACTACAATTTTTAAAAACATTTTTTAGCACATCTAGCAAAGTATCCACTAACATACTCTAATGCCCCCTTTATATATGGAGCAGTGTTCTCTTTAATATCAATTATATCTACATCCGGGATTGTTTCAAGGACACAGGTTGCAGCAGCTTTGCAGTTATCTGTGATGATAACAGATTGTAAAGCCTTACAATTATCTTTTTCACAATTAGCTCCTGGACATATTGTTAATTAAAAGTGTAGTGTAGGCACTCTGAAAATGTTCTGGTGTTGGATTAACATTGTGGCACTCATTGCTTCTAATGGTTCCAAAAAAGTTTTCAATAGGGTCTTGGTTGAGGTGCCGCATCCAAACAGAAGTAATACCATACTTAGTTTCCAATTTTTTAAAAGAATTTATACACCAAGTACTCACTCTCATGATTATTAGACATTTTATTTATAAATTTCATGTTATTTAATATAGCTTTTGCTTCATTCCACAACTTATGGTGTTCTGAGTTTGGCCTTGCTGGTCCAAGAAGAGACTTTACATATAGTATTTTCTTTATTATAGCTGCCATTAACAGAATCGAATACCTTGTCAAAAAAGAGGAGAATTTCGGCAGTTTCCGCATATTCTCTTGGAAGAATGCCTTTTTCTGAAAAACAAAAAGTTAATTAATCCATTAATAAACACTTGTATTATCAGAGCACAGCAAGGTTTTTGTGACTTTTTTCTTCTTTATTGGCCTATTAAAGTTTACTGCTGGACTTGAGCCTGTCATGCTTGCCAGGCGGCTTGACAATCATAGATCTAGACGTGAACACCTTTGACGCAGCTTGTCCATTGTCAATTTGGATTTTATGTCTGGCGTAAACGAGATGGTTATACCGCCGACTAAACAGAACTCATGAGATTATTTGTCATATCTCTTATAACATAACACCCATGGGACGAAATGAGGTGATGGGTTCTCTGTTTTTATTAACATACAATTTTTATGACTAAATACATAATTTAATTTAGTCATGAATACATAAGACTTACACTGGACTGATTAAAAGAATAGAAATGTTTTTATTATTATTATTCTAATACAAGTACAATCAATTGTGTCAAATACAAATTATTTATTAATAAACTGATATTTTACAGTACACTATTATTATGGTGACGAATTTTTTCAGCACGGACTATAACATTAAATAAAACAAACAATTAATCATCATCATCATCATCGTTACAGACCAAACATAGGCCTCTTGCCTCTTCAATAAAAATCACAAAGCACGGTCCTTAGCCACCTACATCATATACCAGGTCATCACTCCAGTGGAAGTCCGCCTAACTTCAAAATCTTACATTTATTACATATAATAATATATTAATATGGATATCAGCCTACAGCCGTCCATACCAGGCATAGCAGATTACTTTAAAAACATCTTAGAGCAGATGCAAGAGATTTTTGATAATATGTTTAATTTAAATCTTATTGAAATTACGGAATATACTTACTTCCAGAGTCCATGCAGCCGTGAACACATTACTTTTTACTAGAAATATTGAGGAGATGAAGAGTCCCTGTCTCTAAAACAACACTCAAAATATAAGAATCTTTGTCTCAAACTCTCATAAACGCAATAATTTTAATTACGTCTGTACATATCACAGAGTACTTTTATATATACTGAAACATATATATAAAGGTACTCTGTGCGTCTGTATGTCAGATTGGAGGAATTTGCAGTCAACTCAATGCGACCATTTTAAAAATGTTGTCAAATAGGTTGTTGAATCTCATAACCACATAGCGTTTTAATTTTATTGTCTTACATCAACAGAAGCGACATCTTGTGCCAACAGATGGATCTAGTACATTATAATACGACAAAATCTAAAAACTA